TCCTAAGATAATAAGTGTACATGTAATTTACATATACAAATTTGTTTCATACAGGATGACAACAAGAGGCCAGACAATGCCTTTTATCTAAAGATGGAAGCTGATTATCATCTTCTTAATGGCTGGAAATTATCTATATATAAGACAGATACTGCCAGAGGCTTGCAGTATAGGCAGAAGGAGCACCTTTTATGACACTTGAGTGTGACCAGCTGCTGAATTAGCCATGCTCCGAAGTTGCCCTTGCAGGCAAACAAAACTACTAGTCGGTGGAACGTGGATGCCTAAAAGCCTTTGCCTTTAAGGGCCTATATGTGATAAACTTACTAGATATGCTCATTTCTAGACCAAGTAATGAGCACAGAGCAGCTGCGGAACCAGAACAATAGTTTTGTCTGGTTCCATAAGCAATTACATTTAAGCTGTCTTCCTGCTTCTCTGAGAAGCCCCCAATGAAAGTCATATTTTGTAAAAGAGGGATGGTTTGGGCCCTTACTTCCCTTTTTCAGAGAAGATGTGAGGCATAGTCTTGACCTACTGCCATTAAATGTCACACACTGGTATTTGCATGAGAAGGGATGACCTCAATCCTTAGTGCAAAGCCAGCAGTTACATGTTTTAAGTGCAACTCGACATGCAGGAGGTGATATGCAGCCATCCTGCCTCAGCACTCAGGTCAGTGTTTTGGGAGCAATCTCCTCTGGGATGGCTTGATACATACTGCAGGGCTGCTTTGTATTCCTGCACACTGGGGAAAACACAGAGTCCTGTTCTAAAGTGTAAGTCAGGCCTCTTGAACCCCACATTGCTGGGGTGGCAGAAAAGACAGCAAAGGCTAAGAGATGCTGAGACCCAAAACAAGGAGATTTTAGCTACTGATGAAGGGAATACCCCAATTCAACTTTTTTCTCCTCTGCTTTTCCAGACTTCGCCAAGTAAATCATACTTAGTTGCTTCATTTCTGAAAGCAACACAAATTGTCTACTTGTTCATTATGTTTTTCTGGTTTTAACTGAACTTTTTATAAAGTAAGAGAAGCTTCCATCTACAGTAAAACAAATCAAAGTTTCCAGTTATTAAATGCTTTTGGTTTCTGACTTCTCTATAAGCACCTTATTTTCTCCAGTCATTTTCAAGATTGCAGGCTAAGATCACTACTGCCTCTTATACAATTTTCCTACCATGAAGTTGTTTATGTGTATTGTTTACCCAACAGACATTTCTCTTTCACTTGCTATATTCATTACTAAATAATTCTGTGAGAAGATACAGGCCACTGATTTTTTGCAATTTGCATCCCCATACTCTAAGCTATGTTGAAAGCAAAGCTTTTTGGTCCTCTTGCTTTGGAAGTACATTAATATTTCTATGACCTTTACTAGACGGCAGATGAGAAGCATTAGGAATAAAATAACAAACAAACCAAAGGAAACCAATTTTTTGAAATGTGTATTTCTGAAAGGAGCAAGAGGAAAAAGAATCAAGTCTAAAAAATATGAACTTTAGCTGGAGTTATGATAATTGCTCTATTGTGCCTATTTTTCCATATCAAAATGCTTCTTTATGATCAATCCACTCAGCATAATGCATAAATATACTTGAAAGGGTTTAGTAGCTATGCATACAAAATATATATAGATACTATTTAGAGATATTTAGAAAGAAATAGAGTAGTTTATGACATGATTATTTACTGTGCACATTGAAGAGATCATATTAAAAGCATGGTAAATATACTAACAACTACTTTACACAAAACTACTTCAAACAATTTAACTTCCAAAGCCTGCTGGTTCTAAAGAGAAATTCTGTGAAACAAGATGTAAATGCAGTGACTTGTGCATGGTGTAAATCCTCTGCTTCAGAAGACTGCTTTCAGAAGGCTTTAGATGACTGTAGGAGGAAAACCAGCTAAATTCTACCCAGGAAACCATTTCTCTCACAGCAGCATTGTTTTTCAGTGGTTTTACTACACACCGGAAGCCGACTCTGTTCCTGTTCATCTAGCTGTCGATTTTTGGATCTGTTCTCAAAGGAACAGTTCCAAAAATCATTTCTAGTGACTTGAAATTTGACTGCTTTATGAACCCCACATGCAGGTGGTTTAACACCACCTATGATTCAGCGAGGCATCTAACAGCTGGAAAGCAAAAGTTGCCCCATGAACTAAAGCATTTGTTCACTGGTTTCCACTTGAGGGAAAAGAGATTATTTAATAAAAACTGTCTTTCATAAGCTTTCTTTTTTACTTTATATCATATGCTACTGCATCAAGTGAAAGGATATTCACGGCAGGGGAGGATGTGTGGGTTAATTCTCTTTAGGGTAGCATGGAAGTGTTATAAAATAATAAAATAGCAATAACCTGATTATGATGCCATGAATATCATTAATCTAGAAGGGTTCAGATTAAGTGAAGTGGTATTAGCTACAGGATGGACATGATGGCAAGAATCCCCTTCTGTCTTTACTATCATGAGCAATGCTATTGCATCCAGTAGAATTGGGCTAGATCTTATATTGAGTGTGTCACATGCTTCCTTTTTAATTACTACTTTTGTAAGTTTTTCTACATGAAAATTTTCCCTCCTTGAGATTTCAGAGAATACTATATTTTAATTTTAGGGAAAAAATAGATTTTTTTATAATCATAAAAACTTGTTAATGGAAAAGAAATATTTGAAAGCATGATTATTGTTGTTTTAGTTAATTTATTTTGTGAGGAATTTCTTTATAGTTTGGATACCAGCATTTCCCTTGCACTTGGTCTTTAATACCTAGAGATTTTTATTTTTTACAGAAATGTTCAGAAAAACTGAAAGTAAGTAGAAACTAACTTTAAAAATACTTTTCCTCCTCATTGTTTAGTTTTGGGGTTTTTTTCTTAGTAAATGTACTCACCTTGACCTATCAATATGAAGAAGTGTAAAACATCCTTGTATTTTTTTTACAATTTGGATTTCTCTAGAGGATTTCTAAGACACAACTTCCCCTCATTAGAGCCAGAGGTTCTGGCCCTTAATCAATCCATAATATCAGATGAAACCGTGCTGAGTTATCCAACTGAGGACCCACCCTTTTTAAATACAGTTCCCATATTCGTAGATTATTGTGCATTAATTATGCCATGTGTAAAGTGTTTTTATACATAAAGCAACCAATCTGAACTTACTCAAGCAATGGCATCTGTTCTTTGCAGTCAATGTTCTCAGCCCAGTGCTGGTTTAAAATGTAATCTGTTTTCATCAGCTAGTTTTAATAGAATTTAAGTTTCTGTTCAAGGTACAGAAAGTGATACTGCACTGCATTGCACAGACAGTTCCTACATTTGTACCTAATGTCATATCTTTGCACTGCACAACTGGGGAGTCTGAAAGATTTAATTGGAATCCTTCTCAAGCATAGAACAACACATCCTTAGTAACCAGTAACAAATTTGCAAATATTTTTAAATGGTATATAATAATTTGATAGGACATAACAGGCCAAATTTGCAAAAGAGGCTATGTTTTCATCTAAAATATTCACTGGCTTGTATACATATGTAGCTCCAAACAGAGAAGAGCAAAAGGCAAAAGCAGTCTGCAACCTTCCTCCACCTCAACATTTGCTATAATTTTGCACATGTACATGCTAGGTATACATTTAATGCATACAGAGAAAGTAATTAGATGAAAGCATCTCTTCTAAAAATCTGGGATTGGTGATTTTTGCACAAGGAAAATACAGAAAGCTGAAAGTGTAAAAGTTTCTGTGTAAGTCTGACATTTCAAGAACTGGTATCCTTCTGCCCCACTTCAGGACAAGCAGCTTTCTACAATCTTATTAGGGGAAATGGTATACCCTAGTGTCTTAGCTGTCATCTCACATTCCCTAAGGGGTTGTATATCCTCTGTGACTGAGATTTGCACAGCAATATCAGGGATTTGGATGCTTAGTTCCCATTATTGTTGCTGAGGATCTAATCCCTTTGTTAAGGGATGTTAGTTCCTTGTGCAGATTTTGTGCCTTTTGGCTCTGTGGTTTATTCTCCCTACTTTTCAGTATTTCCAATAAGTCTTCAGTCTACTCTTGAAAGGGTCTCTCACCATTGGTGCACTTTGTAATCCTTCACTGAAAGACCTGAAGTGGCTGCAAAAAAGCTACTTCTTACAAACGTTTTTACACATGTACGTACCTAAAAGCCTGGAGAAGCCTGTACTGGAGAAAAACAAGCCTTAGAGATAATAGAGAATAAATATAGATTATTCAGATGACACCACACACCTCAAGACAAAAAATTCTAAGGAATCTGCAAGGCTGTCTGAATTAGAATAACTGTTTGCACTATTTTGGCCACTGGAGCACAGTAGAACTTCCTGACTGACAAATTTGCATTTGATCTTCTTTTTCTCTGGCATGCTCCTTCCTCATGTTGTCTACACCGATATCAGAAAATAAACAGTACCAAGACAAATGCTTAACTAGAGGTCCTCCATCTTCCATGTTTAGATTTTCCCTATTTAGATTAAGCATAAAAGATTTTAAGCACGGATGTAAGGCATACATTCTTAATTAGCCTCCAAACCAGGGAACATAACTTGCCTCCTTTTATTCATTACATACACAAAGCCAGTTAAAGGTTAAAATCTCATTCTGTGACATTTAACCATCTTTGCAAGGCATACTCAGAACAGCTTGAGAAGGGCTGCTGCCCTGTAATGATTTCATAGTTAATAATACATTCATATATGTGTGTCCACATTTTTGTGTCTGTGTGCATACACAAAATGTTCATGTCAATGTATGGAACAGCTACAGCATCATTTTCAACCATACTTAACAAGGCAATCTAGTACAGACAAGTTTCAAGATTTTTTTTTCATAAATATGAGAATAATGCAATAAGGATTACCACAAACACCCACTTCTATATTATTTTATTTTTGTTCTGTATTTAAAGTGTCTGCACATCTTCATACAATTCCTTCCTCCTCACTGTCAGACACTGAGGCTCTCAGTTATCCAGGTAAAAAGGATTGGCATTCTCTAAATCGTAATAGTTTTTTATTCTGCTTTGAAAGAAATCTGAGGACCAACTGGAGTTGAGAAAAAAGTCCTAGGTGCTTCTACTGAGTCAACTTCCATGTTTTGCAAGGTATCTGCAGTCACATAAAGACAGGGAAAAAAGGGATTTTAAAAAAAGCTCTCATATTCCTAAACATTCTCTCTTTTTCTCTCTCACTGCTTTCTTCACAAACACTTATGCTCATTGGCCACACAGAATATTAATAATTTGCAATATTCCATAGTGTAGAATCAGCCTCCTAAAGATCATTGGTGGTAAATCTTCCTGAAGAGCTTCCCCAGTCTTACTTGAACACAGACACACAGCCAAGACACACACAGAGACACAGACACTCACACACGCAGCTGTTTCACAACTAACCTGCACAGTACATGTGCAGACCTTCCATGACCATGCCAAATGCTCTCAAGCACATAAGGCCCTGTGGTGCCTGAAGGTCATGCTGGATATTCGGCTTTCAAGCCTTCTAAAAATACTTTGTTGGCATTGTCACATCTGCTTTAGATGTCCGGTTCTCATGGCTGACACAGAACTGACCACAGACATTTATGCTCACTTTCCACATTAAAAACCATGTTTTTGACCTAGAGATAACTTTTGAAATCTTCAAAGCAACTTGCTTAAAACTGCTTCTCAATCCTCTCAATAATCAAGAAAGTTATTCTCTCAATAATCAACCAAAATCCAACACTATCTTAGATTAATTATGGTGAAACCAATGAGTTTCCATGCAACATGACATGCAATTGGATTTGGATTTTCCAGGTAGCAATGGACACAAGAAAATACATAAAGCATTCCTTCCTATGCAAAAGCTAAATAACTCTGCCAGAATTTAATTGCACTAAGAGGACTTTAAAATATAATTTTCTGTCTTCACCTTGGGATTACCTGGAAATAAAAATAGATTAAAACTACATCAATAAATCTTGACAAATAAAAACACTATTCATGTTCAAAGATGAGAAAATCATATTTCTACTGTTTCATATCCTACACAACCCTGTTGACTTCAGAACACTTGACACTGGTGTACAGGATTTTGCTGCACATCCTGTGGGAACACCATGCAATAGAAACACAGTGCAGAAATGGTTGCATGCTGCCTGGTCTGTCTGATATTGCTGATACTTTTGACAGGAATACTTATTAGACCAGGTTAGCAGTACACAAGAGATTCCAACTGATACCTATAGTTGTCTTCAGGACACTGACCATATATTGTAGACAGCAGTTATAAAACATCCACCACATGCCACCACATGCCATCACTTCTGAGAAATTATTACAATCATTGCTTGAGAATGAGCAAAGAGACAAAGAAAGGGGTCAGCATTTTAAAAATGGTAAGGATGAGATCACATCCTTGATCAAAAGTCTATGGAAGCAAATTATTTGACCCCAAATTATGGGGGTCTTCACCTCTCCACTATAGTCTAGCTTGACCTGTGATCCCTGAAATCAGCAGGAATTCTTATAATTTATTTTATAAAGGGAAGGAATCAAATGTTAAGCATATTTCTTTTATGGGCATTGGTAACTAATGTTGAGGGGAGATTCTCAGCATCCATCATAGCTTTACACAACAGCTGCACGAAGGATTAGAATGTTCCATGTTATCTCAGGAACACTAAGGACTATGGTCCTACTCCACAAGTAGGACCATACGCCTATCACAATTTTGCTATTAGGGATAATATCTCCTCAGGGAAATGTACCATATAGGTACATTTGCTCAGACTAAGGGTGGCAAAACCTGCTCTGCCATCTCTGGATGTGATTATGTTCTCTAGTTTATTCTTACACAACCTACTTCAAAAAGTTCAGCAGATTCTGTCCTGGTTCTGGAAAGTATCAATTAGCATATAATGAGAGCCCTGTTCTTGCTATATATTAAAAATGAAGGAAAATCCTCCACTGTGAACTACATCCACAGTAAAACTTTACATCTGTGTAAATTAAAAGGAAGTAACTGATGTGTTTTCTTCAGATCACAGTGGTGCATGTTATTTTTGCTTTTGAATTCTGGTACCTGAATGAAGTCTCTCAAGGATCTTTGCTAAGATGCATTTGCCTTTTCTATTTGTTTGTGACATTTACAAGCAATTTAGAGTTGCATGAGACTCCTTTGAGTTCAGCTTTATCATATTATGGAGACTCAGGAATTTGTTGCATCTTTCCATTCCCTGTCAACAGCAGCCCATAACTACAGGTGACTGCCTGTTTTCCAAGTATAACCACAAGAGAAAAAGAGCAGAGGTGACTGGATGTAGTGCAGAAGAAAAGTAAGTTAGGTCATTCATGGAAATGGTGAAACTTGACAAGGCAACTCTTTAAAAGCAATGCAGCTCTGTAAATCTCCTCGAGCCTTTTCTGGATACTTTTCACTGACAGTGCTGAAAAAGGTGTTATGTGCTGTGAACAGAATCCTAAGGCAAATTAAAAATTTAATTAGAAGATATATTTCTCAGGAAAACATGGAATCTTGGAAAAGTGTTACCATATCCTAGATCACTACAGATAACAAGAAAGCAGAATCTAAAGCACAAAATCATAAAAGAGAGAGGAGAAACAAATAGTTACTAAGTTATTAGGGAGAAAGGCTAAGTTAGTTCTTTGCCAGCATCTGAAGCTTTTCATGCTAACAAAAGGAAAAGGATTTTTCAGCGACTTTGAAGTGTCCACATATTTTGAAATCAACAAATAAACACTTATATTGGCCCACAATTTTAACCAGCCTTGTATGGAAGAGCAAGAGAGAATAAAGTTTATTAATTCACTTGATGGGGCAGCCATGATAGTGATGGGGAGCTGTGATAATTTCACAATCACAGGGTCCCAGGCCACATCAGTGTGGTGGCATGGTATGACTTTGCTTCTCACTGCCTTTTAAGTGAACCCATCCATTTTTAACAACCATTTTTTCATAGCAAATACCTGTTTCTTAAGTCTGCCAAGACCAACTGAGAAACTCCACACAGTTTTCTTTTGGGAATTGATAACTTTGACATTCTTGGCCTCTTTGAAAAAAGACAAAGACATTTGTTATTAAAAAAAAAAAAAAATCTTCCCAACACATAACATAAAATGCTCCAGAAAAATTCTAAGACCTCAAAAGGACTTCTGACATGCATGACAATAATTTAGTGGGATCCAGCTCTGACTGTTCTGTATTTTTTAAGTCAATAGAATATAATGTGTAACATTTAATTGTTCTTTAACTAAATAAATGCAATTATGATTTTCCCAGTAATTTTTCTGAACAAGCTGAAAAATATACTTCATACCTACCCATGCATTCCTGCAATTACTGATGGGGCTGTTGATGGAAGATTAGAATTTTCTGGGTGAGTTGCTGACCAATGAACCTTGCCAGTGTATCCAGGAATATCTGGAGTGCTAAAGGAAACAGTTAAAAGGGGGATGGGGTGGAGAAAGGGTAAATTAAATGACTATAGGCTTGAAATATGACTTATAGATAAGTTCTAGAATGGATAGGGTTTATCAAAGATGGATGGGGTAAAATCTCTTAATAATAAAATGAGAAGTGCTTAGAATGTATAAACTGTCATAGCTTCTTTAAAGTCAGGGAAACAACTTTATGATGATCTAGCTGCTGATCTGGGCCAAAATCTCTGGCTAGACATTGTAAAAGTGAGCTCTTTAGAAAATTCTTTTTTCTTCAATCTGTTTAGGTTTAGTATCTGTATAATATTCATTATTAGAAGCATTGTTTAATCACAAAGAAGAAATTAAATCAGAGAGTTTGCATAGAGCACAAAAAAGCAAGAAATGTTCTTTAAAATGTGATACAGATTTAGCTCATGTTTAGTTTCCAGCTTCAAATATGGAATTTACATAACAGATTTTAAGCCAACAGAGGTGTGATTTCTCATGGGCTAAAACAAAAATGATTTCCCAAATTATTCTAAGATTCTCTAAATTTCCTTTTAGAATTTATTAAGATGTAGTATTAATAACACTGCTTAGACACCAACTTAAATTCTAGTGTGAGTGAACCACTGTACTGAGGCAGTATGCACCACACCTTGGAAAATGAAAGCTTTTTGTTAATTCTGATGATGTTTTAATGTGAAAATGAAAAGCAGAGTTCCTTAAAGATGTGGAGTAAAAAAACTCTACTTATCTGAAGCAATACAAAGAAAATTCTGGTAAGAGTTGTTGCAAGATGAAGCAGAGATGGACAAAATTAAAGAAAAAATAGGTAATAATATGAATTCTGATAATCCACGAGTATTAGAAATAAAACAATATAAAACCTCAATATAGTACCTTGTTTTGCAACTCAAAGTTTTTCAGAGACTATCTTCAATATTGTTCTGTATTGACATCTCAAAGTAGGACACTGTTGGATTGTACAATTAAGCATAGGACATGAATTACACATTTACATCCAGACTGCCCACACACATGCAGGTAAAGGCTCACAACAAGCTGCTTCATCTGCTGAATCACCTAAATATTTGGGATTATACACCTCACCTCTGTTAAGTCATTTGTGGGTCTTCACACCATATAACTGATAGCAGCGCTTCCTTTCAAATAATTTCTCAAGTATTCTTCATTTTCCTTGAAATCTGTGTAAAATTAAACAATTTATTTAATTATTAAGTGCATAGAGTTACTAGTATCATGCATGTATTACTAGTATCATGCAGCTGATGAGCTCCTTCTACTACAACTAAGTTCAGCATGGGATGCAAAAATGGATGTGTGAGGGATACAGTTTATCAGACTTTATGTATCTCTGACTTTTGTAGTGGGAAACTTGGCTCTGAAATTCCTCCTCAGAATAGCAGATGTAGTTACAAAAAACTGTATCTACCTACCAGAGTTATAACACAGCACTCTGTATTTGGCACGGGAGCATTGGTGGTATATGTTGTAGTCCTTGCACCCATAGTTAGCAGAAGGACCACCTAATTCTCCATCTCAGTTTGGAGAAACCTTGCACTAACCCACACCTTCACGCACCGCTACACTCCCTGTGCCATGCTCCAGTCTACGACTCTCCAGAGAGGATGGCTTTGTAGAATCAGTACAGAGGTTTTGTAGCACTTGGGAAGGTGCTGCCTATAGGGAATCACTAAGTAGTTGACTGGGCAAGGAACACATTTGCTCTGTCTTGACAGCAGCTGTGCAGAGGCAACAAGCAGCTTGAAAACCTTTTACAGTAGTAGAATGTGTTTTCAGAATTGGCCAAAATGGATTGCATTCAAATTTGCTTTTTCATGTCAAAGCAGACAACTGTTAGGTTAAGTGCACATTAGGTGACTGTAGAAAACTCTTATCTGTATATCACGATCCCCAACCAGGGACACAATGGATATTGGGTTGTGACTGTAAGCACATGAATTCATCCAAAACTGAAAATATACCTGATACCACTCTGAAGGAATTAGTCAAACTGTGAACCCAGTTTTATTAGCCTGGTAATGGGCTACGTAGCCACATGTCATGAAATTCCAGTGATTTTCTTGGAAGTGTACGAGGGTCACAAAGAGAAGTAGATGACAACAAGAAGTCCTATAGTAGCTTCCAGCATTTTAGAAGTCTATTTTAAGTTAAATCACATAATAATTATGCTGTTATATTCTAATAATTTTACATATTATAATATTAAATATATTTTTATATTATATAGAATACTTTTTATATTTTATATGCTAATATTTCGATATTAATATATTAACTGTATTATACATTTATATTATCATAATTATAATAATATAAACTATATAACTGTGAGGAATCTGACTGATAAAATCTTCTCACCTTTGAAACTTACAAAAGTAGAAGAAAAGATAAAAGCATCATAAATGGGCAAACATGACCCAAAAGTCAATCTGAGAAATGACCCAAGATGAAGATTTGTTCTAGACTGTCTGCTAGAAACATTTGACAGAAGTTGCTACATTCATAATATGTGGGATGAATGTGGATCTGTAAAAGAAGAGAGCTGAACAGAGAGAAGAAAAAGGTACCAGGAAAGTAAGCAAGCCTACACTACAGCAGAGCAGCTGCTCTCCTGGGAACCTGCAGAGAAGATGCAAAACTGTGCTGCGGTTATGTAGGTGATAAAGCAGAAGAAACTGAGGTTAAAAAAGCACCCCTTTGTGTTTTTGTTTTTTTGGATCATGACATCTAGCTCTTGTGTGCTTTCTCTGATGAGCTGCTAACCCATTGCTGCTGCTGAAGAAAACAACTAAGTGCCAGCCTACCACTGGGCAACACACAAAACTCCTCTGTGGTTTTGCTGCCGTCATCAAGCTTTCTTTCTGTAACCATGACATCCTTGTTCATACACTTCCTTGTTATCATCCTAGCAGCCCTTAGTCCCAACAGTAACAAATATATAGTGCTGACAGTTGAATCTGTGCAGGCACTAAGATTTTTCAAGTGAATTGTAGTGATTCTGACTGCCTCTATTTTTGTCCATAGAATCATAGAATCACTAAGATTGGAAAGGACCTCTAAGATCATCAAGTTCACTGTTAACCCAGGACTGCCAAGTCCACCCTAAACCATGTCTCCAAGAACCACATCTACGTGTCTTTCAAATATCTTCAGGGATGGTGACTCCATCACTTCCCTGGGCAGGCTTATTTTGTTGTCCTATCGCTGGTTACCTGGGAGAAGATATTTATCCCCACCTGGCTTTTGGGTAGCTGTAAAGAGGGATAAGATTTCCCCTGAGCCTCCTTTTCTCCAGGTTAAACAACCCCAGCTCCCTCAGCTGCTCCTCATAAGTCTTGGTGCTCCAGACCCTTCACCAGCTTCATTGCCCTTCTCTGGACATGCTCCAGCACCTCAGTGTCCTCTTTTAGTGAGGGGCCCGGAACTGGATAGTGGATTTGAGGTGAAGCTTTACCATCTTGGGATATCTTTGTAGATTTTTATTTCCTGGCAAGGATCAGGAAGATCAATGTAGACTTAATTCAGTAGGCCCTCCCTACAGATATTTAGAGCTATTTGAGATGCCTTAAGGTATCTGAGAAAATTATCTATAATGCAGGGCTCACGGGGGATACATATTGTTCAGAAGCAGCAGCTGGAAGTGATGGTCTAGAGTACCTCCAGGGTATTGGATGCCCAGGTTTGCCATGTAAATTCCACATTGCCGGTTTATATGGGAGTGAAATCTAGATTTCCCCCAAAAAATTCTTCAAAACCTTGGATCTAGCACTTCAGCTAGAACAATGGAGGTATCCAAGTTCTTTGTGCAAAAGAACTAGTCTAGTGATATACTGGTAGATTCTTACCTTAACACTGACAAGCAAAGAGTTCCTAACATCTTACTCTTTCTTATAAACACTCCTTTGCATTTATTGTACAAATTATTTATTTATTGTATAAATTTATTTATTTATTGTATAAATGCAATAGAACTAAACCACCATATGAAGTCATTATACCTCTTTTGGTTTTTGCTATTATAAAATAGGCCTCACAGATTTCACTCACAGTATACAAAGGTCACAAGTGGTGTCCACCTCAAATTCTCCTCCAAATGCAACACATTTGTGCCCTTCTACATCTTTTTTGCCTCTGTGATATTATTTGCCAAACTGAGAACCTCTGGTAGAAATGTCTCAGGCATGATCCTGGGTTAGGAAATTCATACACGCCTTTGTGTTGTGAACGAATATAAGTAAGATTACTTGTGAAGACAAACCAAAGTGCTTTAATGCAGAGCAGAGAATAGGAACAACAGCATTCTGGGTTTTATTTCACACCCATTTCCCTCAGCCATCAAAGCACAATAGGGAATGGGTACTTAAAAATGGGTTTGGGGTTCCTGAAAAGATAAAAACATCAAATGGCAACTCCCCCAAATATTTTGAGTCATGTTGAACTGGAAAACTTTGTTTCTACAATTTCAAACAATTTTATTCTGCTTTCAAAATTTTCAGTCCCCCTTTGTAGCATGGGGCAATGTTTTTCAGACACAATAAAGCATTTCAAGGCAGCAATAAAATCTCACTTGGAAAATGCCAAAGTAGGATATTTCAACAGACACTTGCCTCCACAACCCCCTGAATGAGTCAAACTGGAGAACCACTAAACCGGCATGTATGGTAGACAAGCTGTTGGTTTCTGAAGAAAGAATACTTTGTGAGAAAGCTCTACAGCAGCCCTTGGAAATGACTGTGCAAGGTGCAAGACAGCAGAAGGTCCTGTTCCCAGACAATTGTGGCCTGTGGGATTTCTGATAACTTGAATTTCCAAGGGATGCATGCACATAGACAGTTGGAAAATGACTACAGTGAGGAAATATGCGAAGTCACTAAGACGTACTGATGTGATAGCAGCATTTTGCTCAATGTGCTTGAGAAACCACGAATAAAGGGTAGTTTCAGAGAATATCTTCGTGCAAG